AGAGTCCGATTGAAACATTTTACGAGGCCGTTGGTCTGTGGATGGTAAGTAGTTGAATACTTATGGTGTACCTGTAGTGATCACAAATAGCTGTGACTAATATGTTCGAAAAATATTTGCCTTGATCTGACAGCAAAATTCGGTGACATCTATGTCGGCAGATTATATCATCTATGATGAAAGAAGCAACAGAAGAAGCTGTAGCATCAGGAATGGCTCGAGCTTCAGACCATTTTGTGAGATACTCAGTAGCCACAACGATATATTTATTTCCTTTCACTGTGGGTGGTAAAGGGCCTACTAAGTCGATGCTGACCCTATCGAAAGGTAAGCCAACTTTAATGAAATACAAAGGTTCTCGGGTTCGGAGCTTATTTTTTTGCTGGCATACGTCGCAACTGGCAACATATTTCTTAATGTCTTCTCCCATTTGTGGCCAGAAATATCTCTGCGAAATTCATTGGAGAGTGGAAAGACTATTGAAATGCTCTGAAAGCAGGTCAGAGTGCATACTGAACAGGATGGATTGAATTTCATCAGGTAACAATACCCTCGACAGATGATAAGGTGACTGGCGACGCTTTTTGTATAACTTATTGTGGATGACTACAAAAAATCTAGTTTGTTGTTTTAAACGGTTTTGTTGTTGGAGGTTCAATTTTGACTTATTATAGGGATCACTAAGATACTGGATATAAGTTTGATAGAGTTCAGGATTCATTGTAAAATAGTTGTTTGTAAAAATATTTAGTAAATTTAGAAGGTATGATTTGAATTGTGTATAGATAAAACGTAAAAATTCAGCTAGTCAAAATTGAGGAAGTAAATTAGAAGTAGTGGGTGAGCTTCGGCTAGTTTTCAACTTATATTTGAAAAGACATTCTCTGGCAAAATGATCGTATTGACAGCAATTATAACATATGCGCTTCTTAGGATTTTTCGATTTAGGAGTGACCGATTTGGTAAGGCATGAGAGGCTATCAGCATTCGAGTGATATCGACCAGGACGGTATATAACCGAAAACTCTTATTCCTGCAAGGCCAAAATCTAACGAGCAAGGCGACCTTTCGGCAGTCGATGTTGTAATAGAGACTTAAGGGCTGAATAGTCTGTGATGATAGTGAAGCAGGATCTGTGGAGATATTGTCGAAAGTAAGAGACCAACCAAACAACAGCTAAACATTCTTGCTCAGTCACAGAATAATTCTTTTTGGCTGCGTTATAGTCCTACTGACATAATAAATTACCCATTCTCTCCCTTGGAGGTCCTTCTGCACAAGTATAGCTCCCAACGCAATCTTAGAGGCATCTGTAAATAGAAGAAATTCTCTTGCGAAATCAGAATAAGCCAGGACAGGCACGGTAATAAGTTTTTCTTTAAGGTCATCGAATGCCATCTCGTGATCCCAGAACCAGGTATATAGAATGTTTTTCTTTAGTAATTGATTAAGAGGGGTGGCTATTTGAGAGAAGTTTCGGATAAACCGGTGATAGTATGATGCAAGCCCCAGGAATCCTCATAGTTGGCAAAGGCTGGTGGGGGTGAAAAAATTTTTAATGACCTTTACCTTTTTCAGGTCAGTGGAGATACCTTCTTCGTTGATGACGTAGCTAAGGAATTTAAGTTCAGACTTGGTGAAATGGCATTTCTTGGGGTTTAGTCTAAGTCTGGAATCTCAAAGTCGATCAAATATCTCGGTAAAATGTAAGATATGTTCGTCAAATGTATAGGAGAAGATGTTGATATCGTCCAAATAGATGACCACGAATTTGCTAATAGCTCCTTGAAAAATTCTATCTATGAGTCGTTAAAACGTTGCAGAGGCATTGGTAAGACCAAAAGGCATTATATTAAATTCGAAAGTTCCTAATTGAGAGATAAAAGCTGTTTTCTCTTTATTGGTAGGGTCCATTTCAATCTGCCAATATCTAGAGGCCAGATTCAGAGAGATATACTAGGATGAATGTCAAAGGATATTTAACAAGTTGTCAATTCGGAGAAGAGGATAACTGTCTTTTTTTGTAACAGCATTAAGGCAGTGATAATCAATACGAATCGGGTTTTATTGTGTTGCTTGACGAGTATGATAGGGGAGGCCTATGGACTATAGGAAGGTTAGATAATTCCATCTTGAAGCATTCAATCAATTTCCTTTGATAGGAATTTCCACTCCTTAGGTGAAGTATGATAATATCGTTGCTTAATAGGAAGAGCATCACCAGTATGGATAGAATGGGTGACTAGGTTAGTTCAACCTAGACTCTAAGGGGTCCACGCAAAGAGATCATCATATCCCATAAGCAATTCTTCTAACTTATTGTGATCGTCATTCCACAAACTTCTGATGTCCAACTCCTGGAGGGTTCTTCCATCTGGTCGAAAAAGAACTCATGTTGGGGCTCCAATTCATCGTCATCAAAGTCAGAAAAAATATCGGCACCCGGTAATTTATAATTATCATCACTATCAATATTCCACCAGGCATCACTGGCTCCTAAGTTTTCAGAGTGAATGTTATACCAGGAGGCTACCAAACTATCATCAGAATCATCATTCTCCTCAGGCCCGAACATATTATCACGATAATATCGGAAGGTTATAGATTCATCTTCCGAGAAACCAAAAAGACGGTCCTTCAATTCCTCCTCTTCATACTCAGACTCGGTTTCGTCCTCACTCTCAGAGTCATCTGACTCTTTGTCGTCATTCTGTTAGATTTTTGCAATTTTAGGAGGGCGGCTGTCTTGGATTGAGGTATGCTGAAGCTTCTTTAATTCCATGGGAACAATGATTTCTTGATCTTTCCATTTGAATGTCATCTTAAAGGTATTGTAGTCAATGTTGGCATTGATTTTAGATAACCAGTCATTCCCAACGATAGCCTGATATGAAGGCGCATCTGTAACCACTACGTTGATTGGGACTACAACGCCTCTGACCAAGTACAGAAAGTCCAAAATTTCACCTATAGATCTTTTGCTCTAACTATGTACATTGACCAGATTAACTGTAGAGGGCCTTTCTACCTTAATACCAAGCTCACTGAAGAGATGGGAGGAAACAACACTTCCGGAGGACCCACTATCGACGATAAGAGGGATGACTTTATCTTGGACCATGGCGTCACAATACAAAGCCGTTGATTTGGGAGTTGGTTGAAGATTTATGAAGGTACGAGTTCTTTTCTTGGGGGTCTTTGTTTTACAGAGACTTTTGGCAAGATCTGAATGGAAAGAAAAGACTACCTGTAAAAGTTGTCTGAAGGTGATATTGGCGGGTTTATCACGGATATTGGATATAATCAAGCATTGAGGGATAAGAGCAAAGATTTGAGGTGGGTTGTCTTCGACTTTTCTTTTTCTGACAGGAGCCATATTTATTTCCTTTTTTGGCTTGGCAGCTACAGCAACTTTTCTCTTAGGTTCCTTGTCACTATCCCGAATCTCTTCTAGATCACTAGTCCTCTCTTCTTCAAGAAGGTCTTGGAGGGTCGAATCTTCAACACGTCTTCTTTTAGATCGAGTGGAATGAGCAGGTTTTTCAGATTCATCAGCAGGGAGAAACAGAGGCTCATTTTCGTCAAAGTGGAGGTTCAAAAAGGTCTGGGCTTCATTTCCATGAGCTCGAACTGGAGCATCATTATTATTAATTGGCGGAAGATTATTTTGAGGCCTGTTGTTCTGTCCAAGAGGAGTAGCATTGCTTTCTGTGGTTACCGCACCCAGATTATTGTGAGGCAAAGGATTCGTACAGTTATGAGCGTAATGGCCTGTCTGTCCACACCGATTACAATTGAAGCAGGGAGAATTGTCCAATTAGTCTAGGATCATCTAAGGGGCTCATGTGACTCTTGAAGCTTCTTCATCACCATATTTAAAGTTTTTGTGAACTTGACAAGAACTTCCTCCATATTAGAAGAGTTTACTGCTGGAGGGTTGCTAGAGATCATAGCCGCAGACTGCAAGGGGGTAGATTGGGAGTTCGAATATTGGAGACTTGAGGAAAGGCCATAAGGTATGGGTTATAGAAGAAGGGGTTCTGTTTAAAAGAATTTTCGAAGGCTTTGGCACGTTCATAAGCAGCGGACAGGGTGTTAGGCATAAAGGAAGCAACAGCAGTAGACAATTCAGGTCTTAGGCCATTGATAAATATCTGGGCTTTGGCAGTGTCAGGTAACGATGACCACCTGACTCTACACGTTGGAAAAGTTCTTTGATAGACATGTGATACAAATTAACACCCTTGGTAGGGCCTTGCTTTCTTTGGGTTAACTGAGCAAACCATTTACTTTTAAGAGAAGGGGTTTGAAATTGAGCAATGAAATGAGGATGAAAACTTTGCCCTCCATGGTGCGGATCATTCCACCGATCAATAGCAGGTCGAATAGTCCTAGCAGTAACCCACCAATTAGCCACCGTGCCTTTCAAATAAGGAATGACAATTAGGATTTTTCGATTATCTTGAACTTGGTTAGCTTCGAAGGCTTTTTCGACATCTTCTAACTAAGTAATGGGGTCTTGTTCTCTGCCAGAAAAGTTGGGGTAAGGAACTAGGTTGAGTTCACGATTTTGGGCCGGAAGATTAATAGCAGAGATATTGATTTGAGGAGCAGGATTGTTTTGCATTTGAAGTACAAGATTCCCTATCTGGTGGTCCAAGAAGGTCATAGGATCATTTTGATTGGGCTGGTTGTTCTGGCCGATGGGTGGTTGTTGATCATCGTCATTGGGATCAATCAGTAAAGGGGCTTGAGGACAGTTGTTATCTTGGTTCATATCGTCTGCGAAGGTATCACTATTTTCGTATGTTTCATTATAAGGGTCTAAGTTGAAACGGTCAGTTTCTTGATAAGCAACTAAAAATTCATTTAAGAGGGTGGGATAATCGTCAGGTCGTTATTCATATTGAAAGCTAAAGATGAAGGCTCATAATAATCGATCAAGGATATTGCTAATCTCAAAATTAGAAAGTTTCTCAAACTGACGGATAGCATGATGAGAAAAAAGGAAGAAGCCAGTTAAAAAGTGTCGAACCAAAGCCAAAACCTTTGGAATTGTGGAGATAAAAGTTGGGGTGGATAACAAACGGGACAAGAGTCATCATGATAATATTGGATCAAGTAATTGATGGCCTGGGGAGTTTTTCTAAATAGATAATGTTGCTGATCGTGTTCTTCAGTATTTCTAGTATGTTGTTCAAAATTATTCATGCGGTCCTGAAAACTGACAGGCAGATTTGTCCACACAACTGGCACCAAATGTTACTATCGAAAGTTAGGAGAGCGTCAGCAAGGGCGAGTTTAGTACAGTGATAGTGAACTAAAGGAATATCGGATATGGTATAATGATAAGATAGGACGTGAAAGGTACAACAATAGGTGAGCAATTGTAATTGTAATAATTATATGATATAATAAAGGAATAGATAATTAAATAAATAAGATCATTAAGCTGTCTTAACAATAGGGTTATCGGGATGATAACAAGATCGTGAAGATGTATTCACGATGATTCAACAATAACAGAAAGGTAGATTCAATATAAAACCGTTTATTAACAATATCAGTAAGATCGAAGTCTGAGAAAACTTTATTCATGGAACTAACGGTTCTTTAAATGTTAAAATTGTACAGACTATTTACTCTAGGTTACCGTTGGCATTTTCTTCCTCCATGGATTTATCCTTTTCAACGCCGATTCCCCTACCTCTCAATGATACTAAACGCCTAATGTAAATAATGACTACGCTTTACTTCAATGAGTTCATTAAAGCAACAGTAAAATTAAGATCTTGACGCCCACAACAAATACGCGTCATGTTGAGATCAAGGATTGTTCCAATACTTTGTCTAACCCATCTTGCAATACGTCCAATGTCTGGATTAACCATTATAGTAATCGATAGTCTTCTTAATAAGGAAATACCAGTAATTAATCTATTAGCGACTAAAAAAGAAATAGCGTGGATCTATACTTAAATATTTCCCGGGGTACAACGATCTTACAACAATAATCATCAAGTGGACTAACTAAATATAGAATAATAATAATATGAATACAGAGATAATAAGAAAAGTAATAATAATAACTATAATAACTATATGCAATAAGATTAATAAGTAATAAGGATAAGCTAATAATAAGCACAACAATAAGAAATAATAAGCACGCAGGTCCTTCATAAGGTTGGGGCACAGAAAATTTTAATTTGTAGTAGTAACATGGGTATCCTATGCGAGATGAGAAATCCACAGTTTTTCGGTTTAGCTCACTTCACCAACACTTAGTTCATAGAAATAATATTTCACCAACAACATTTCACCGACATTTATTTTCAATTCACAGACAGTTTATTTCACTAAAACTTAGTTCACTGACAAAATGATTCTAGTTATTGTCGTTAGAATCAGGTTAGAATGAAGTTAAGGTTAATGGAATTTATAAAAAACAATTTGTCTATGAAATGAGCTTTGTTGAAATGAACTGTTGGTGAATGTTTGTCGTTGAAATGTTATGTTTACGAAATGAGTGTTGGTAAAGTGATACGTATTCTTTTTTAAGCTACCCACTCAAAGAATCTCCCATGGGTAATGCATATTTCATACATAGAATATGTAGTAATAATTTAAATTTTATTCAATTATATGATTTCGTTC